CATAAATGGATCTGCTAAATTTACTCACTACTAACAACCTTACAATTTAAACGATGCTAAAAATAAAAAGGAATAACATAATAATAACAGTAATGCTTCAGCCAAAATTTTCATGTGTTGTTCACGTGTACGGTCAGATCCATTCTTCTAGCACCAATATCCATGGCCATCGCACTGCCACTTGTAGAGTTCCCCATCATATCACCATCTTCAGACTAAACCATAACTCATGTCTAAGTCTCCTTTTTGCTAAAATCGATCGAGCCCCCTTTTCCTTCTTCATTTTGTCGCATCTGCTCTAGTTCATCTACTTCCTCATTCATAACTTGAAAATCCATAACACATGTCAAGGAGAACCTGATTTAGATTAGAAAGAGCTCTTAATGTAAATTGCCTCCATGGAATTTGAGATGGATATAGAAGAACACTTTTATTTCTCCTCCATTCGGATAAAGACTTCCTGGCTTGCGGAGAAACCATCCTTAGTTGTCCTCTTGCGCATTTTCTTCAAAGAGGTATTCATGCATCTTCAAAGATCTTCGAACTTGATTTGAAGAGAAGAAATAATAGGTAAAGATGGTCCCACTAGGCGTGCCAAATTTATTACTACAAATTTTATGAAAGACATAATACTTTTGTACAACTTGATTTATTTCGATCAAGCAGTATTGCGAGTACAATCTCTATATGGAACCTTTTGATTCTTCTCTTTGTGGACTTGAATTTGGATCTCTGAAGCTGGATTTGGCAGTTGGATCTCCTTCATACTTGAGCTTGAATTTGTCTAACGTTAATTGGGGGGGTCGAATGACTTGATCCTGAATTAAACAGTTTACTTGATTTGATTTGAGATAAAATGTTGGAGGACTTGCTTCTATGATCTTTCTAGAAGACGGTTTTGAATTTGAATAACATTGACTCGAGGGTTTGAGGGCTTTTTCTCGAATCAAATGCTATGTTGCTCGAACTTCTCGACGAGCGCGACTTGAATGTCGTTGACATTCTTGAAATGATTCGAGAGGAGTGAGTTATCTCTTTACTTTTTGGAGAAGAGTTGTCGCCTGTTTTTCTTGTTCTTTGCCTTCTTCTGCATTGAACGTACTTCGACAGTTCAAATGCTTGGTTGCGGGTTGAACATCGATATTCAACTTGAATGCCCTTGAATCTTGAAGAACCTTTTCAAATCTTTAATCGATTTATTGAGAGCTCTTGAACTTATGATTTTTATTTATGAGGTGTGATTTTTGGCTTTAAAAGAGGTCCTATTTATAGATTTAAGAGATAGAGTCTTGGGAAAGAAGAAATCATTTGATTGGTCCATTTGATATAATAACTTCCTTATTATAAGATTTGACTTGGGGAGAAATAAATAGTTACTTTATTAATTATGTATTTTATTTATGTTGAATTTATGTCAAAAAATAAATAATATCATTAATTAATAAAATATTTAAATTTCGATTTCTAGTGTCAACACTCCCAATCACCATATGAAATGATTTGCAAATATAATTTTGTGTTGACTAAGACTTTTTAAAAAATCAAACAAAAAACGTTGTGTAAAAAAAAAAAATTTAAATATTTTTATTTAAAGACACTCTTTTAATTTTTAATATATGAGATGTTAAACTCTTTATTTAAATATACTATCTCGTGCAGGCATGTTAATATCTAGTAAAAAAATCTTCCTTAAGAATGTATTATTCCCGCTGACAGAATGGAAACTTGGTTCAAGATATGTACAACACATAATGCGTAAGGTCCAATAAAAGATTACACAATAGTCCCGGGTCAGATCTGTATACAGTCAAAATCTATTCTAGGTGACTCCCATTAACCTTTTTCACCCAAAACCGGGAAAGGACTATCCACAAATTCAAGCGCTTGACCTCCTGTGGGACCGCACGAGCTTCCCTGAGAGCGCCTCCAAAACCTGCCACGTGGCGTCTCCCTCCCAACTCGGGACATTGAACAACAGCGCCTTTCTAACTGACGGATCCCACAGCTTTCTCTGTATCACCGTTAAATTAGTAGCTGCCACGTGTTGCAGGATGTGCCCTAGCCTGGCCACGTCATCCTCTGCCACGGTGAGGGATAACTCCGCCCAGGGCACGGCGGCCGGGAAGGGCAGCCGGATGCTGTCGGCTATAATCACGGGGACGCAGCCTAGGGCCACTGACTCCACGAGCCTCGGGCTCCACGGGGCCCACCCCAATGGGCACAAGCAGAACTTTGACCGCGCTATCTCAGATTGGTAGCCAGAGAACTTATGCCGCCGCAAGTAGAACCGCGGGTCGCTGCCGTATCTCCGCCATATCTCCGTTCTCACCCGCCTGCTCAACAAAAATTAAATCCAAATGATTCATTCTCTTTCAATTAATTAATTAATTAGTTGATCGAATTAACAAAAGAGGGGGGGAATTAATACTTGCTATAGAAACGACCGCTGACATTCTTGGGGTGGAGTTCCATTTTGCCCCTGAAGAAGGCAAAAATGTCCCGGCGGCCGGTCACCGGGTAACTTTCAAGTGTGGCGCGCACGGTTTCCGGTGGAATGTACGGCGGGATGATGACATTCTCGACTTCCTGGCATGGGTGCTCGTGTTTCACCCCAAATGTCTGCAAAATCACTGAGTTTTTTAAAAATTCGGGAACCCCATCCGCCATCGCCACATCTTCCTACAAAACAAAAATGTCAATGTCTTATACTATCAATAGAAATGGGACAATTCTTTCCCAAAAAAAAAAAAAATATTTAATAAATTGCCACGTAAACATTTATGGACTTCATTTAAGGGTCCATATCAAACTAAAACATTGAACGATTAATATTAAGATAACACAATAATATCGTGATGGGACTATAACAGAATCATAAGCATATTTATGAAAAGACTAGTAAAAATAACACACACACACACACACATACACCATATCCATGAATGACTGTAATTAAAGTTTGTATAATGTAGAAAAAGACACAGCAACACACCAGTGTGTGAAAACAAGAGCCAAAATCATGGGAAGCAACGAAGACGTGGTCAGCCCCACGGGTACGATTCCAGAAAGGGAAGTGAGAAAAAATGAGTTTGATGGCAGAGGATATGAGAGATCGCGCGTGGCCGATGGCGGGAAAGCCATTGAGTGTGCTGAAGTTGCACGAGACGTAAACAGGGACAAAGAAGAAGTCGGCCTCCCGTGGGTTCTTTGTTCTCACGTCGCTCCTCAGTAGAGCTCTGTGGATTGCGACCTCCGACGCAAACAAGTGGCTGTTGCAGCGCTTGTTCGATAGCCAATCCTTGTTGTACTTTGGCGGGAGATTGTATACATAAACCTTCATTCCCTTAAATAATCCTACACACAAAATTGTTGGGAGTGTTGGGCGTGAAGGTGCTTGTTTCCATTTCTTATTCTTTGCTCCATTTAACAACAATGGAGACCATAATGAATTTATACATAAAACTAGATACAAAATATATTAACTACATACAAAATATTGTTACTTTAATCTGCCTCTTTTTTTTTCACACCAAAATTTACCAATTGAAATTATTTATGGAGCTTGACAAACCAAAAATGCTTTAATTTTAATGCCTTATGTATGAAGTTCTCAATGTGGTCGTTAATCGACGCTGTAATATCGTCATATAAGCATATGGATTTATAGAAAATTCATAAGTAGTATCATAATTTTGTAAGTATTTCAAAAGGTCGTATTGTATATAGTTTAATTAACCAATAGTATTCAAGTAAGTTTAAAAATTTATCATTTTTAGTACAAATAGAATCCAACGTGTCATTTGACACGGATAAGTGGACATAATAGTGTGATTTCCCATGCCCGTGGGATGCATAAATTTTACACAAATAATCATTTTTTCAATTATTTTAAAAGATATGAAGCTACTATTGATGAACTAATATTTAAATTTTTCCCAGTGATGCTCCCAGAAAATAATATGCGATCATCATAGGTACAAATGACTTGAGAGAATTGTTTTTTTTTTTTTTTTTTTTTTCTTTTTCAAAAAAAAAAAAAAAAAAAAAATAAAAAATAAAAAAATAAAAAAATAAAAAAATAAAACAGGAAAGAGTTTACCATAAGGTTTTTGTGTTGTACGTATGATGGATGAATTGAACAACAATCGGTCTCGTTCAATAAGAGCACGAGACGCTGCTTTAGCCTGCGAGGAGGTTGCGGGTTTATTAGTACGAGTGACGAGAAAAGACGAGAAGAAGTAGATGGAGACCGAGAACCAGAGGACCCATTTGCAGTGTTTGTAGCATAAAAAACAGCCTTTCTCTTGGTTTCTACTGTTTCTTGCCCCATGCAAAATCCTCATCTTCTCGCATACAGCTATAAGGTAATGAAAACCAAACTCTGAAGATTACTTGTGAGTTGTTATTTCTCATAGTGGTGGCTGTGGCCGGTGAGGTGGTGCTTTCTCTATTTGGTATATTTTTTTGTTGGTAGAGTGGGAATTAAGAAACGAACAGGAGATGGATGGATTCTACTCACATGTAGCTTTGCTTGTTGGGACTTCTTTTTTGCTTCAACTGCAAGATTTAATTACCGAAAGATGAATAAAAAGGATAAATGAAAAATCTGATCTAACTTTTTCCCTAATCGTGTGCTTACACAAAGTAGTCACTGTATTTACATATTGATAAAATAATATTAAATAAGGTGAAGATGATAATCATGGTATAATTGCAGTTAGATAATCAAGACAGGCAGGTGGTTCGTTTATCTTTTCAACTTACTATAAGGACAAAAGCTATAGTTCATTCTTATTGTTAACTAGTGCGTTACCCGTGCGAACACGAGCTAGTTTTATTGAGGTATGCATTTAAATTTAGATGATTGAATGATTGGAAGAACGTTGTAATAAAACAAAATGTAACTTATATATTATTAAACACATCTTTGCACACAAAATTATTTGTTCGGTCTTTTGGTACGTAGATCCCCAAATTATATTAGAATTCTAGATAGACTTAAATAAATCAATTAAATTATTTAGCAATATATATATATATATATA